TTAAAAATAAGGTGAGGATTCTCTTAGGAAAAAAAATGTTAATTGTTCTAACACATCACGTCCTTATGCCTACTCTGTGATTGTTTTCCATTTCGCTCTTTGACAGAACACCTCCTTGGCTGGGGAATCAGCCCAGGCCACTCTGAGCTTAGAGCTGTACTGGCCACCTGGGAGGGTTGAACAAATTTTACCCCCAGTATTTAAAGGACAAGTAGAAGAGATGGCTCTGAGGGGCACTAGAAACATTCAGAGTGGGCATAGACCAATTGCAGCCCTCCAGGATCCTGTGGTCAAGTTGGGAAGACAAGAAAAAACACTGTAAGGCATAATGCAAATGTTAGGTAACAATAATAGCTGATATATAATAAGCTTTTAGAAGTTTTCAAGCTCTGTTTTAAATACTTTCCTTGCATTAATTCATTTATTTATTATCATATCCTAATGAGGTAAGTGTATCACCATCTTATAGATGAGAAAACCAAGGTTCAGAGAAGGCCTAAGGTCACACAGTAAGTGCCAGAGATAGGATTTGAACCCAGGCTCTGGAGACTGCTCTCAATCATTGTTTCCTCTACCATTTTGTTCCTCTATCATCACTCCTTAGCATTGCCTTGACCCTTGAAGGTAGGTATTGACCTATCCTTAGTCCCCTGTCTTAATAGTTTGAGGAAAATGCCTGGTTCTCCTCTCCATTGTTTAAATCATCCTCATCCTCTAAAAGTCAGCTCAGCCCCCATCCTCTGTGCAGTTTTACCCTTATACTTTGCAATTGATCGATGCCCACTCTGAACATTTGTAGCTCTTTACCTGATGCCACACAGCTTCCTCCTTTATCATATACCATCTTACCACATTCTGACTGTTCTATTTCTGCATGCCTTGCCTTCTCCCCAGGAGATCATGAGCCCCATGTGAGCAAGACCAGGCCATGCACCTTGCTCCTACTCTCCTATGGGAGCTGTGAGCCCCCTGAAAGCCACTGGAGAGCTCTTATGCCCCAGCTTCTTGGTGTAGACACTTCTCAGTGTAGTCACTGCCTGATCTTCCCATTCCCAAACCTGCCAAAGCCGTTAGAGGTGGAGTTCTATTCTATGTAATTTCTGCTTGATAAAGTGTTTCAAACACTTACTGCTTTCAGTTGGAAAATTAACCATTTTTTTCACAAGAAATTTTATTATATTTGGAAACCTTTTTTAGCCACTAATAACAGATACTTCATAAAACGGCTGCTCAAAATGCAAGCTGTTTCCTTTTTCCTCTTTTAAATGTGTGGTTATTGCTTTTGAAGAAGACAAAGTGAAGGAAGCGTTTCCTGTTTGTAGAGCCTCACATCTAACCCTAAAGAGCAGATTAGTGTCAAAACATCCTAGAACCTAGAGCTCCTGTAACTTTCTGCTTTTTAAGCACCTTTTTACTATCACAGTAGTAGAGAAATTGGGGGTTGGTTTGGTTTTGCCTACTTTTTCACTCTCACTCCCTTTGAAGAAACAAAATATTACAGATTCAAAGGTTCGTGCCCCTTCCCACTGTCCTGTAGCTGGTGTGTCATTTCTAATGCCTATGCATGTTTGCATCTTACTAGATGTGTATGTATCCGGGTATGTATCTGGACATTTTGGTCCAGGCCAAAAAGCATTGGAAGGAATGAGCAGCAGATTACAGGAAGCTGAAGATCAGATTAGTGAATTAGAATACAGTATAGAAAAAAAAAATCACTCAATCAGAGAACTGAAAAGAAAAAACAATTTAAAAACAGGAGGACAGTCTAAGGGAGCTGTGGGACAACATGAAATATAACAATATTCACATCATAGGAGTGCTAGAAGATGTAGAAAGTATGCAAGGGTTAGAGAACTTGTTTGAAGAAATAATGGCAGAAAACTTCCCGAACCTGGTCAAGGAAAAAGTCACACAAGTTCAGGAGGCACAGACAGTCCCAAACAAGAAGAACTCAAAGAGGCCCACGCCCAGACACATCATAATTAAAATGCCAGAAATTCAAGACATAAAGAGAATATTAAAGGCAGCAAGAAAAAAGCAATTTGTTACCTACAAAGGAGCTCCCATAAGGCTGTCAGCTGACTTCTCATCAGAAACTCTACAGGCCAGAAGGAAATGGCATGAAGTATTCAATGTAATGAAAAGCAAGGATCTAAAACCAAGACTACTCTATCCAGCAAGGCTATCATTCAAAATAGATGGTGAAATAGCTTCCCCAGACCAAAAAAAGGCTAAAGGAGTTTATCACCATTAAATCAGCATTGCAGGAAATGTTAAAGGGATTGCTATAATAAGAAGTTGAAATAGAGGAAAAGAGAAACATAGGCATAAAGAAATAAAATGGCAGTAGATAAGTACCCGTCAATAATAACCTTAAATGTAAATAGATTAAATGTTCCAATAAATAGACATAGGGTAGCTGAATGGATAAGAAAACATGACCCAAATATATGCTGTCTACAGGCTGGAAAAAAAAAACCCAACAACACTTCTGGAGGACTTTAAAGGAGAGATTGACAGCAATACAGTCAGTAGGGCACTTGAACACCTCATTGACTTTACTGGATGGATCTTCCAGACAAAAAATCAACAAGGAAACAGTGACTCTAAATGACACACTAGATCAGATAGATTTAATTGACATTTACAGAACATTTCACCCCAAAGCTGCAGAATATAAATTCTCCTCAAGTGCACATGGGACATTCTTTCCATTTTTTATTTCCAGTTGTGTGACTTTTTACTTTGTATATTATAGTTGTGATAGTGATTTCTAATTTAATTGCAGTGTGGTCGGAAAATACAATCTGATATTTATGTTTTGGTATTTCATATAAGACTTAGTACAGTCACTTTTTATAAATATTTTGTGTATGATGGAAAAGAATGTATATTCTCTAAATATTGAGTGCAGGCTATATACATCCATTTAAACAAACTTATTATTTATGATCTATATTATTATTTTTGTCAGCTTCATCTATCCAGATATGCTAAAATTAAATATATGTCTGGAAGTTTCCAATTCTCTTGTAGTTCTATTAATTTTGGCTTTCTATATTTTGATGCTTTTGCATTCTAGATAAATATCAATGTATTCTACTGATTTTATCCCTAGTAATGCCTTTTTTGCCCTTGAGGTCTATTTATTTTACATAAATATAGAGACATCAGTTTGCTTTGTTTAGCACTTTTCTGATATTTCTTTTTCCATCTCTTTACATCATCTTGTCTATGTCTTTGTAATTTAGGTTTGTCTACTGTTGGGTATGGGGGGAGGGTAGGAGAGATTTCAAAATTGAGAATCTCAGCCTTTGAGTTGGTGAGTTTGTCCATGTATATTTATTGTGATCACTAATATATTTGAATTTATTTCTGCAAATATTTTTCCAGAAATTTTTGCATAACATCTTTATTTTTAATTTCCCTAATTTTTTCAAAAAAATTTTATAATGTATTTTTTTAAGTCATCCTCTGTATCTTAGTCACTTTTAAACTTCTGATTTTATAGTTGTTTTCAGATTGTCCCAAGTTTAGGTTCTTAGGGATCTAACCCTCCTATTTATTATACACACTGACTCTTGCTTGTGATGTTTTCTTTCCTCATGGGTTTTGGATTCTGAGTCTTTCCTCACTGGAGTTTATCTGTAAATCACATGTAATCCCAGAGTAAGAGAATGTCTCTCCACAGTAATTTTATATTTGCTTCTGGTCGGCTTCTTACTTATATCCATCTTCGTCCCAGAACTAATTTTTATGGGTTCTTAGAGCACATGTGTAGTATAACTTGAACCCCAAATTTCTCAAGCCTCAGGCAGGCCATGATTCCTACTCTCTCCCTAAGGAGGATCAGCCTTTTCGTTTGTTTTTTCTCATCTTCTCTTTCACTGAGGGTGGTGCCATTTGAGGGTCGTGCCTGTAAGTAGATAGTGAGCTCAGAGTCACTAACTCTTCAGACCCAAATAGGTGGTACAACCCAGGAGGTTCTGTTGTAAGCAGGATGTGCTCACTCTTTCACCCCTGTCCTTGGTAACTTGCTTGCCTCCTGTTGCAGTTTTCCAGAGCTTGTTTCTGGCACCCTCAGGCCTCCATTTCTTCATTTTATGTTCAGCTATACATATGAAATATTTATTTCACCTAGCCTTGTTAGGCATTTATAGTAGGAAAAATTTCAGGTTGTCTTAGTCTGTAATTTTTCCTAAATCTAGAACTAGATATTTAAATCGATAAATTAAAATATTGGCATTTAGCTTAAAATATGGATTTTTTAAAAGCATCATGTAGTGCATATTTTTCTTCACACAGTGGTTTTCTTTTCATTGATAGCAAGAAGTGACATTGCCATCTATCTTAACTTATCCATAGAGGCACTCAGAAGGACAGCTCTGATCCTTACTTCTGAACCTCTTATCCGCATGTGTAAGGGTTACCTTCACATTCTCTAGCCTGTCCTTCCACCTAGGTTTTATCTCCACCTGAGGTCTCCCTCCATTGAGCATGCTCAGAATGCACTTAAATAAAAGGAAAAGGAGCTGAAAGAGAAATAGAGGGAAGAGGAGCATTTTCAAGATCTGCTGAAGGAAGTCCCAGGTTTCTGGTTGCCTGCAGTGAATATACCTTCTTTTCTGTCACACCTGGAAAGTCCCTGAAGTCCTCGGAGTCAGCAGAGGTGGGACAGCAGATGGGACAGAGTCAGAAAGGACACAGTGGGGCTGAAGTTAGGAACTTCTCTGCCTTTCAGAGACAGATTGCACAAATAACTTTGGCAGGACTCATTACCTTCTTTTCTCTCTGTGTCCCCACTGCATTCTACCAATTTTATCCTATTGATTGAAGGGTGGTGCAATACTTTCGGGTTTGGATTGCTTGCATACAGCAGATCAGTATGACTTTATTTCTCGGTCTATAGATGTGACAGCATTGCAAGAGAAAGCTCTGCCAAGCATTATGACAATTTTGCTCCTTCTGTGTCTGATCATTGTATATTGGTCTGTTTTTAGGGAGGGATGATCAACTGGAATCGTCTTTTCCCTCCGTTACGCCAGCGACAAAATATAAACTATCAGGATGGTCGGCGATCTGAACAACAAGCATCCCCTCCTCTAGAGGTTTCTGAGGAACAGGTAATCAGTAACACCTGGTACTTATCCCAAACTAATGCTTCAAACTTCAGGCAGTTTTGGTGAACAAAACTCGGAAGAAACTGAGCATCTAAATACAGAGATTTTTGATAGCCGTTAAACTGCCACCTGTAGCAATGATAGACACTTTGGGCCTTTATTGGCTATTGTGGGTCTTATGAGTTTGAGGAAGACATGATTTAAAAACAAGTACATTATAGTCATTTATTTTAAAATCTATAATGCTTCATATATACAAGAAACTATTGTAGTTGGTTCCCTACAAGGGAAAGGAGAGAAGAAGGCGATGGATGGGGAGGGAGTGGTGCTTTTCTGAGAATCCCTTTTGTATGGTTTTGATTTTAGAAATCATTAATATTTTACATATTCAAAATGCAAGTTGATAGGGACAACAGTAAAACTAAAAAGAAACAAATGAATCCACTGTATTTTGAATAATGTAATCACAGGGGAGGGAGGGAAAATTAATTTCAGTAACTTTTGAATGTAATATGTCCTCTATCTAAAACAAAAAAAACTACAAAGAAATCTTAAATTCTTCATAGATTTATTTTTCATAGTGGCATATGTACAGCAATTCTGAAATTATGTTGTAAGTGTTGTGGATTTGAGCAAATGAGGAAGTAAGTTGATCTTACTGTTGAAGAAGAAAAATAAACAACAGAGCAGGGGAAGACAACAAAGAACCCTGTGGGCTGGATTGGAATTAGAGATATCAGCATATGTACATGTATCTTAGCGCTGTCAGCTAAAGGAATCAGAAGCAGTGGCATCCCAGGAGCACTGAGCACACTCAGTGCCCAGATCTGGTTTCTAAATCCTTCTGCCCACAAATGGTACCCGGCCTCATTAGAGAAATTGTGGGTCCAGGCCCAGAGTAAGGAAGGTGCAAGATGACCTAGACCACCTTACGCATAGAACTAAGGAAGTGCTCCATAACTGAGGGCCATGCCACAACAATACTGGAGCCAGCCTAAGGGGGTCCCACTGGTCAAACCTGAGACATCAGGTTTGAGCATCACAATAGATAAGGATAGCACTATAATATAATCCATTCTCAGGTGGGGCGGGGGGGTCCATGAGTTCATACTGATATTAATAGATAAATATTTATATAAATACATACATCTGCAAGGGTTAGGAAAATGCTTTTCCTTTCAGTAGAATGTAAAGTAATAAATATAGAAAGAATAATGCTATTGGAAAATCACAGTTTTGTAACTATCAGAATTAAAGTCTATTCAAGGAATAATCATCAATGTAAGAACAGGCTACTTATATAATCTCAAATCTCTCCCCACAAGTTACTTATTAATTACAAAAGAAAATAGTAACTATGCAGTGAAGAAATGGGACACCAGCTTAACTACCTTATCAGAATTAACATTACCAATAAGGGAACAAAGAGCATTTTGTGGGCATGCCCTGGAAAGGATACATCAGTCGTGTGTTGCAATAAAAAATTCGTAACTGTGTTCATAAAGGAAAAGCAATGTCCCAGTCTAAGAGACATTCCATAAATACCTGGCCTGTGTTCTTCAGCAATACCAATGCCACAAACTATTACAGATTGAAGGAGACCAGAGAGGCATGCTAACTAAATGTCATACATGATCCTGAATGGATTTTGTGCTGGAAAATTAGGGGTTGGGGGTGGGAGATGAAAGGACACTCTAGAGTCAGCTGATGAAATTGGACTGTAGATTAGTTAACAGTTTTCTATTAATGTTAAATTTCTAGAATTTGGTATATATACTGGCTGTGGTTAGGAAAAAGAATATTCTTGTTCTTAGAAAATAAAATACACACTGAAGTACTAAGGGGTCAAGGGACATGATATGTGCAACTTAGTCTCAGATGGCTCAGGAAACACAAGTGTGACCATATGTGTAGAGACAGAGAGAAAATAACAGTGGCAAAATAACTTCCTAAGTCTGGATGAAGAGTAATTGGGTTTTCGGCCCTATTATTGAAAATTTTCTGTAAGTTTGAAATTATTTCAAATTAGAGGTTTGTTTTTTTTAATCTATAAAAATGTAAGTTTAGAGCATTACAATAATAACACTTGTACATTTCCTTCCACATACAATGCTTTCTCTTTTTAAAAAAAAAAAAATTAATGTTGACACTATCACAGATATCCCCCGTTCTCCCCCTCTTTGCCCATCTCCACCCACTCCCACCTCCCCCTCCCTTGGCCTTCACCACACTTATGTCTGTGTCCATGGGGTATGCATGTATGTTCTTTAGCTAATCTCTTCACCTTCTTTATCTTGTCACGCCCCACCCCC